TGGCACAGAGCAGGAAATCTGGCATGGCCTCTGCCTCAAGTCCTTGCTACAAAAATGTGCCCGGGGAAGGAGGCTCCAGAGGTTGAGGACTCTGATAAAACCAGCTTCCTTTATGCCTGCAATGATGTATAGCAGGGCCCAGCTATAAAGGCAGGAGAGGAAAGCCTGGAGTTGCAACTGCCATCACCGGGGGACTGGGGCCGGTGGCTCAGGGTGTGCTGTGCAGCGCTTGGGGGGGGGGGGCACCCCAGCTGCTTGGGGGGGGGCGAGCCCCCAGCCAGGGCCAGGAGCAGCCACCCCATCCTTCCCAGCTGCACCTCCCCAGGGCAGGGCTCCATCCTCTGGCAGAGATTTGGGGGTCAGGGGGGCTTTTTTGTGATTTAAGCCTTGTTGTGGTATTTGTTTGGAGGCTGGGAAGTTGTATGTCAGGTGACTCAGCGGTCACCATAGCAACGAGCATCGGTTAATGAACAGAGGGAGTAAAGGAGCCAAAATAAATGTCAGAGCATGAAATAGATGCAGTGGAGCCAGGTGGGCAGCGGAGTTCCTGCTGCCCTCTCCTGCCTGCCCCCTCCTTGTGTGAAGGGGGCAGTGGTGCTGCCCTGCCTGTCCCCAGTCTGGCTGGGGCTTCCTTTGCCTTGAGGGGGGTGGATTTTGCTAAACCGCCTGCAAGGTGCAGGGCAAAGGGCCAGTGAGCGAGGAGCATGGCAAGTCCTGGCTGTGCCACCTCTAAATGTGCAGCCCCCAGCCCTCCTGGGGCACCTGCGGGTGGTCCTCACCCCTTGGCACTGGGCACCTGGAGCCCCACTGCTTGCCCGCCTTGCTGCCTGCCTGCGGGGACCCGATGCCCTGTGCCTGTCACAGTGTCAGAGCAATCTGCAAATCTTAGTGATGCTGCCATGATTTGCCCCTCCTGCCACTTGGCTGTGCCTGCCGGGGCTGCTCAGCCCTTCCCTCCGCTGTGGGCAGCGGGAGGGAGTTGGCGTTGGGTCCTGCAGCAGCAACGCTGAGCAAAGGCTCTGCCCCTGCCCTGAGAAAGTCACTTGGGTTTTATGTTTTATTTTTTTCATCCCATCTCTGTTGCAAAGGAGGTGTTTGGGTGGGACAGGCAGGGCTGAGGGAAGCAGAGAGGTTACAAATCCCAGTGGGGCAGAGCAGCCGTGTGCGGTCCCAGCTGCTGCAGTGGGATGGATGGATGGATGGATGGATGAGGTTGCACCCCAGGTGAGCCCTGTGCCCCAGCCCACAGCTGGCAGGGTGGGTGGGTGTTTGCGTTCCCTGCAGGTGTCTCCTGCTGCAAGGCTTGCCCTCATCCCTCATGTCACAGATTTACCTTGGACATTGTGTACACCAGAGGCAAGGCCCCCGGGGGTCCTGGCTCATCCAGCCACTGCTCAGGACAGGGAGGTGCTGGCCTTGGTTGTCGGTGGGGGCTCAGCAGAACTTCAAAGAGGTTGAGCCAAAGGAAATTAGTATTTTCATTTGCATGCTGTGCTGATGGGCTGACTCAGTCTCTAAACTCCGTTCCCACGTGGCACCAAGGGAAAGTTTTCTCTCGCTAATCAGATGATGAATGCTGGCCCCACGACCCTACTCGGGAGGTTGCCATGAAGGGAGATGTTCCTGTGCTGCCCAGGAGTCAGTGTCTCCGCAGAAAATGTTGCAAAGTCCTGCACGGTGCGCGGGCATCCCTTGCTGACAGCAGCTTTGCAGCCATTAAAAGTCGGAGAGGGCAGATCTGTCCCACCAGAGCAGGTCGGGGCTCTGAGGCAGAACAAGGACCGAGGCGTTTAGAGACCAGCTGGAAACAGAAACCTCAGCGCTGTCCCAGGAGTGACAGCCCCGCACTGGGTGAGACCAGAGACGTGTCCGGGGGGACCAGGCGTGTCCAGGCGCACGCCAGCTCTGCACGTCCTTCTGGGTCCATCAGGCTGTTGGGGTGCTGCGTGTTGGCGTGGTCTGACTCTGGCAGCATGTGCCCGATAGCTGGAGAGCAAAGGGATGGGTGTGTGGGGCAGAGCTCTGCTGGCAGGTATGGGGGGAAGGTGGGTGGAAACCCAAAAGCTGAGAGGAGGAGGAGGAGGATGAGGATGGGGGCCGTGCCGTGCTGTCCTCGCTGTGCCCGGTGCTTCCCCAGCCCCGTTCACGGCACCCGTTCTCAGCCTCCCCTTCGCCTGCAGTTCCCAAAGCAACAGGAGCAGGCGGTTCTCCCTCGGATGCCATGTCTCCTGCTTGGATGACAGCTTGCCACCTCCAGAGCTTCATCTCCAGGCTTTAATTGATGCCTGTCACGATGCTCAGCTCCCCCGAGCCCATAGCCAGAGCGCAGACTGACAGCGTTCCGCCGTGTGGGACACTGTGCGGGCTGGTTTCTCTTGCCTGGAACCCTGTCCCCTGGCGACATGTCCTTTCTGGTCCCACAGGAGAGGGGACAGAGCCAGCGTGACCTGACCATGTGCTCCAGCACTGGTGTCGTGAAGGGGCTGCCCTTCCTCCAGGGAGACGTTGCAGGATTTCCTCCCACCTCACCCTGCCCCTTGCTGCTCCAGAGAAGTCACACTCTGTGCCTCAGTTTCCCCATTTATAAGAACAGCATTTGTCATCATCACAGAGGAGGTATCGTGCATACTCTTGCATTAGTGCTTTCTGGTTGCTTTGGAGAAGATGGCTCTGAATCTTGCAGACAGAAGCGGCTGCTGCTGCCCTGTGCCCTGAGGAGCCGTGTTCCCGTCCAGCACCGTGGCACAAGCCGAGCTCCGAGCCGTCCCCAGTGGATATCAAGTGCAGCGCTTGGTGCGCTGCCACGAGGAGCAAGCTCACAGCACTCACAGGAGGCGACGGGCTGCATCCATCACAACAAATCCATAAGTGCAACTGGGCATAGCCAGGATTTTTTTATTATTTTTTAATGCCTTTAATTTCTCTCTGCTTGTACATCAGTAGCACATAGATCAGGCTGCTGGGGCTGGCGGATGGATGAGCAGAAGAGACAAGAGCCTGTTCACAGCCAGTCCCTTCCCCACGCTGTCCCATAAACATCCCCCGCTGCGGACATGGCCGCGCTGTCCCGCTCTTGCCCTGCATCCACATCTTGCAGCATGTAACTGTGTCCCCAGTACATCACCTGCCTGAGCCTGACTTGTCCTTGGCTTTTTCCTCTCATGGCACAATTGCACAGTAGAGAGCTGAGCCTGAATGCACATGGAGGAGAAAGCCAAAGTAAACAGGCAGGCTTTTAAAGGTGAAATGCGTTTGTTTTGCTTCAGAGACAGGAGGAAAAAAAAAAAAAGCCACAGAAAAATAGTCTTTTTTTCCCAAATGCTAAGTGGGAGGCCAGCAGATGCCAGAGCATCTGCCTCCTTCCCCAGGCCTTCTAGGCAGCATTGCTGATGCCCAGTGTGGAGGGGCTGCTCTCGCCCCCGCTCCCTAGTTGTGCCGTGGGGACCCACGAGCAGGAGGGGAAAGGCGGCACGTGCAGAACGGCTGGGGCTCCTGGTGGGACCGTGCCATGGGGTGGGTGGCAGTCCTGCCCGTGCGATGCCCACCTGTGGTGCTGGGTGCGTATCCGCAGTTGTGCATGGTTGTGCGCACGTGTGTGCGTGCTGTGGGGGATGTGTGAAAGCAGGCTGGAAATGGGGTATGGACAGGTCGTCTTGGTGACTCTCTGTCTCCTCTGTGCCAGCTGCCTGTGTCCCAGGCACGAAGCAGGGCTGAGAAGTGGCAGGAAAGGGTAAGCAGGCTAAAAACTTTGTGTAGTCATTTAAATGAATTCATCTGCACCTCAAAAAAAAAAAAAAAAATCACATCTCGGAAGCTAAGCTGCGGCCCAGATGTTACCTTTGCAAATGTGCTGAGAATCCTGGTCTGTGTGGCAGCCTGTGCCCTGCATTTGTAGCGGTAAATCAAAGCTGCTCTTTCATACAGTCGAGGGGCTGGGACAGGGGAGCCAAACTGGGAGGACCAGGCTGGTGTCTCAGTGCTGCACAGACCTGGGGCTGGGGCTTTGCTCAAGCAGCCGCTCTGACCCCGGTGCTGTTGTCGTCTTCCCCAGCAGAAATTAGATGTGAAAGCAGATGACCCCGGCATCCCAGAATGAGCCCTGGCCTGTAGCCATGGAGCGCTTTCCCTAGTGCATCTGAATAAGGTGTTGCTCGGACATGAAGGCTGGGAGGGTTTATTTACAGCTGCATCGATTCTCTGTCCAAACCGATGAGGGGTTTGCCTGGGTGGGTGGGTGCTGGGAGCCAGCAAGTGCCTGCCCTGCTTCGCTTCACCTCCCCTTCCCTGGAGAAAATGGGGGCCGAGTGAGCCTTGCCGTGTGCATGGGTGCACCCGAGGAGGGGGGGAAGCTCAAAGGATGCAGGAGCAACCAGGGGGCAAACCGTCCCCGGGGGCCAAGGGCAGTGTTTGGGGTTGCTGCCAGCCCCAGGCTGAGCGGCGGGGGCGGCTGGCGCGGGC